TTTGTCCCTTACTGATGAGGTGTTAATGCCGACGGCAGGCCGACTGGGCTTTGGTGACACCTCCAAGCAAGTAGAACCATCATCCTCACCGTTTTCCAGTTCCCCTGGCAGAGCACTGTACCTGTTCCGCAAGGACACCGGGGGGATGGGGGAATTGCCAGGCAGTTACACTTGCCACGCCGAGCAGGGACCTTCTGCCATTGCCCCCTGTCCCCTAATTCCTCACAGTCCCTGATCCCCTCCTGCCTCTCCACTTCTTCTTTCAGCTCTGCCACAACCAGATTATGGAAGTTGTCAATTTCCCTCTCGCTTTCCCTAATTTTCCTTACCTTACCTCCTCCCTGAGATCCAGCACTTCATCCTGGAGCTGCGCCACCCGGTTTAGCAGGTCATCAACCTGCTGGCACCTCACACAGCCATCCTCAGGGTTGCTCCCAGGTACCAGGGAAAAGCTATGACATTGCTCACAGCCCGTGACCTGAACACCGACATCCCTTCGAGTGGGTGCAGAAAGCACAATTCTCCTCCTCCGGGAAGCCACCGTGACTCCTGGATAAGGTGGAGCACTTCAAATCGCGTCCAACGAGCTGTAAGCAGCAGTTGTCCCCTCGTTAGGCAGGAACAATAGGCTGCCTTGCTTGCCTCCTACTCGGTGGCCACCGACTAGCCTCCCTGAGGCTATTTGTAGCCCAGTGACCCGCAGGTGTGCTGGCACCGCCCCGGCTCCCACAGCAACCCGCCTACCCCTGCATCACCCCCAACACCGGCACATCTGGTCCCGGCTAGAAAATGCTTCGAGAAAGCCCCAAAAAGAGCTTTTCTTCGGCTTTTTTCTGCAGCAGCTCTCCGCAGTGGCAGTCCGACCTGCTCTGAAGTGCATCCCCGCAGGAATGACCCCTTTCCCTTCCCCAGCTCTGCTGAAGGCCCGTGCTGCCACAGCTGTGCTGTGTTACATGCCCAGATGAGCAGCTGGGAGATTTAGTTTTAAGGATTCTTTTGGTTCCCTTGTTTGCTTGGTTTTGCTTTTGTAGTAGAGGATACGTGGTTTAGTTAAAAAAAAAAAGAGTGCCTTATAATTGAGTGGATCCTTCCCATGATACCTGACTTCGCGCGGGTTTTTAGGACTTCCCCTTTTCCTAAAGGAAAGATGAATCAGCTTACATGGAGGGTTGAATTATAACGGATTCTCCCATCTGAAAGTTATTGCAGGATTTCAATTAACCTGTGTAAGAAATGTTTGTTCCAACTTACAGCTTTTAAATATTTAGAAACGATGTCAAGATCTTTTACTCCTGGGCAGACATTCATCATCAGTCTCCTACACTAATCTTACTTGTCTTTAACAAGCAAGGATGAACAATCCAAGATAATTTAGTTTCCTGAGTAAGACAAAAACTAGATCTAACTGTTTTTACAGATAGTCCTTTCTCTTCACCTGTTCCAAACAGATTACATCCTTGTTAAAGTTCAGTGATTGGAGCAGTGATGCAGAGTATTTCAGACGTGGGTCGTTACTGCTGTATGTAGCACTTAATTGTCACTACCTCTTGCTCTAGACATACGTAACTGGTATGAGATCTGAACTGGCACAGTATATTTCACTTAATTGTCACTACCTCTTGCTCTAGACACTAGTTCCTACTCCCACTCAGAGGAAATACTATTATACTCAGGTCCTTTTCTTTTTGAACCCCTTCGGAATCAGAAAGTTCTGGCTACCAGAATGTATGTGGCCTTGCATTTTGCATTATTGAGTTTCACCCCATTTTGATTTTTCTGTTCCTTCAGACTTTTAGGAGAATGAACTGTGGCTGTATTTGCTTACAACAAATTAGAAACATCCTATGTTTTAGATTCAGTCAAGAAACCTTTCTGCGATTTACCTTCAGCACTGCCAACTGGCAAACGATCTTCACCACACATTTTGAGATGCAGCACCACAAATTATGTATCAACCAAATAAACAGCAAGGGCTTCTTCCTGTAAGTCCAGAAGTTTGTTGGAGTCAGCTGCCCAGATCTAACAAACGTTGACATTCTCACATTTATGCCGTTTTTTAATTTTTCGAAGAGCCAGATGTTTCCTCACTCTGTGTAAGGGTCAGTTAAGAAATGGAGAAGACGCAGCATTTCTCAGCTCACGAGTAGTCATACTGCAACAGGGTGATTATGTAGGGTTTCTGTTAAAGCCTTATCTTTATTTTAGACCTTACGTATGGTTTCTCTTAAATGGTTATTATTTTTGATTGTCTGGAGCAATAGTGAAATATTACATTACAATAAGCAATAAATAAAAAGGATATTGTTATATAGATGCTTATTTTTCTTAATGCCTACACGAAAACATGAAGAGCCTCTGAAAGATGAAATCCTTCAACTTGATGGCTAAGAGAAGATGTAGAGAGGAACTTTCAAAAGCTCCAGAATTATTTTAGCCCACTAAGCTGATGGATCATTTTAGGTACTTACAAACAAACATGTTTTACCAATGACACTTCCCTAAAAAAGCACACTTGGGGAGCGTTGCTCACCAGCCTGGGCTGCAGCACCAAGAACCCTGTTGCATCTTCTGCAGCCAGGAGGAAATGGCCTGTCTCTTGTAGGCAGGGTCAGTACCTTGAGTTGATTAGTAAATAGTAATTCATTATATTCAACTCAATCCAGCTGGCTAATAATGACTGGATGCCATAATTCCCCCTTTTTGTTTTACAATTTTTGTTTTCACAAAGGCTTTATAGGTGAGCAGAGACCCAGTCCATTCATCCAACTCCAGCACGCTTCCCTCCCACGAATACCACGTCGGGGCTTGCGGCTTTACCTTCTTCTCCGAAGGACTCTCACTCGGGCTACCGGCTCCGGCTCTTTCGGC